GCAAAACAGTAAGCTCTTCTATTTTATTTTGTCAAAAGATTAGCATTGACAGCTGTAGAAAGAAGGTAAATAACAACAATACTGGTTACCTTTGTTGTTAAAATGTCATTTTTGTGTTCGAATTTTCATTCTCTTATATGTATAGGCATGTATCCAGGATTTTTTTTGCGAGATGATCATCTATCTTTCTCCAGGTATATGTATTTCTGGATGACATACTGTAAATGTGTAATTTTAAGTCGCTTCTTAATACACATCAAAATATCTAAAACGAAGATTCGAAAAGAAGTATGATGAATAGATATGTATTCACACTCATCATTGGAGTTATATGTTGTACAAGGAATATAATTCAGTCAAGATGACATTTATTTTTCTCAATACTGATGATTTTGCCTTATTTTGAATCATATTGACTGTCTAGAATCTCTTCAATATGTATTGTACATATTCTGAAAATTTTTATTTCATCCCAAGACGTGGACAATTTGTTGGCAATCTTTAATTCTACATGTCTTTATTCCGATTTCGATGATATATGGCCTCTCAGAAGTGTCGAATGAAAATGTACTAAACAATAAGCATTGGACTACTTTGGTATTTGAGGGTATAGAATGTATAACTAGAGTGTGATTAGTAGGATGTGAGTGAGAATCTTCTCTTCACACTCACCTTTAACAAGCATTTCTCATTTTGTGAGCAATATTTTGATCCTTGCATATTCGTCACGGCAACGGTTTCTTACCATCATTCAAATGATAGAGTGAAATAGGACAGGTCGTAGATCATCTGACTTCTAACATTCTCCAGTATAGGCTAATGCCAAATTCGCAATAGATAAAATGACGACGAATCCATTAAAGGAATTTAGCGTGACAACATTCGCTTTGATTTTGTCGAATAGTTTTACAAATAAGCCATTGTTCATAATATAATTTCATAATCCAATCGATCTTCAGTTTAAGACTTTCTTGTGCCAATTCGTTACTCAAATGGACAATGAAGAGGCGAAATGCATACAGAAGCTAAAAATCATTGGTTTCAGAAGTTTTAGTTAAGAGTTCGTCGAGAAAGCACTCATCCCCGTACCATTCGATATCATCTTCTGACTAATAAATCAGTCGACATTTTTTAATCTTTTGCATTATTTCTCTAATTGGTGAGATAAAATTCAGTGCACTTGTCGAACATCTCTTGTTTGAATTGTTTGTCTTGAAACAAGCTCAGCAACATCGGAATGAACAGCTGATATGAAAGAAAAAGCCGACTATCTTAGAAAGCTCCGTATTCACTTATATTTTCGATCAAACAAAATGCATCTCATCGATCCGTCTCTGACAAGAAGAATTTTATTTTGAATCAGTTCTAGTACATTCTCTTGATCGGTAAAACACTCGATGATTCTTTCGTCGTTGTCTATTAATAATTGATCAATTTATTGATGAAGAGAGAAAACGAAAACGGTGGTTACCATGCGCAAAAAATAGATCTGTAAGATCATCGTTCGAGTAATAGTATTCGAGACGATAAGACGTTGTGGCATATTTTTGGCTGATTTCATAAAGTTGACGCATCAATTAGAATCATTATAAATCTTGGAGACCAGATTGCAATCGAAAAGTATCGTCTATGTGCTCCAGAACGCCTCTGTAACAACAAAATCAGTGTCTAGGTAGATCAATCAAATATCTTCTTCGTTGTCAATAATGTTTTCAAATTGACGATTCCGATGGCAATTATGCCACCAGATACCAGTAGCCATCTAACGAATAGATAATTATACAGCGGTTTTTCCTGGATTTCTAGTGCACAACCATATAGTGTGTTTCGAACTACTTTCTCAGCATGCGAAGATATGGTTTCTATACACTATACATACTAGTTGCCAAGTCGACTTCAGTGAAGACATCTATGCATACTGGGCACAAGAGAAAATAGGACTAGGAAGAGAGCGCAGAATTTATTGAAATACTTCATCTGTTGAGTTATTTAGTGTATATTAGTGCAATATCAATTGTTAAATATTGTTTCTCTTTTGCTTGCGACTTTTATGAATCTTTTATCGGAAATAATATTATTTCCTTTGATACTTTTCATACATTATATAATACTTGTGGATACCATCATTTGATTACATGATACCAAAACTAATATTAATACACGCTACTCTTTTTTCACGGCTCATGTCGGCCTTATAGCCATTGTGAATTTGTTCTCTGAAGGCAACAAGCAAAGAATTCTTAAGTGATTAAAATATTCGTTAAACTGTTTACATTCTTGCTGATAAATTTGTATTTCATAAAAAATAAAAGATTTACCGCCGATAACTAATTTTCATTGCACGATGAGTGTGATGGTCACAATGAAAATGTAGCCTTCCCTACATGCTAAGTGCACGATAATATGATGTTCGATCCTATTGGTGATGATTCTTTAACATAGGAAAGTTGAACAATGAGAAGAGTAAGCGAGAAAAAGCTCCTTTCCGATTATAGAATGCACACTCATCTTTCACCTCCCCGATGAATCAACAGAATTCTTCTCGGGTTAGACAACGGTGAGGTTTCCTTTGGAGGAGTTTCTTGGAAGAAGCGAGGTTCTTTGTAGAAGTATGCAAATTAAACGAAAAAAATCATTTCGATGAGAGTAAAAATTTCGGCTTATGAGAAGAGCTGGATATTTGTTTAAAGTCTGGCAGAATAATTTTTGTTTATGGGGGTTTTCAGATCAAAAGATCTCATTTTCATACAATACAAGTATGTGTCTAAAGATAACAACAACAGTAATCTACTCATTGCTAAGTCGCATACTTGTTCTCCTTCGACCCTTTTTTTGTAGATTTCAGTTAGTGTAAACCCAACATGTTTCAGAACAAATTCGAAAAATGTTCAAGACAAAAACTAACTGATTGAAATATTTTAAAGAAAAGATCTATCATAAAACTTGCTTCCAATCTTGTATTCTGTCACAGTGAGCAATGAACAACGTCCTTCTACGTAGTTTACCATTGGTTTGTCTGCAGACGTTACTGATTTTCATAATATCAAAGATGTTATCAAACGATTTTTCTGTTTTAGGTCTATGCTCTTTCACTTCGCCTACAATCGTTGTTTTCTCACTAAAGTTTCTTTACTACTACAGTATCTATTTTATTGTTGATTAACCTTGAGAAACGGGAGAAGTAGCATTGCTGCCACCCTCGGTGTACAATGTTCACTACACTACTTCATTACTCCAGTTCTGTCTGTTTCACACAGAACATGAGCTTATATACGAGAGATGGAAAGAGGAAGGAGAGAGAAGTAAGAAGAGAGAAAAAAATTGAATAGAGGACGAAGTGAGCAGGCAGTTATTATCGGTCATGAAGTTAGAGCGTCTAGCTGCATATTGACCGAATGCTCTTACATCATTAAACCGATAGAAGATGAATATATATGATACCCTTATTTTTGGTTTAAGCTGAATTTTATTGTAACGCTCGTAAGCGCTTACAAAAAAAAGAGAGGAGAAAGTAAATGAAAGAAGGAGAATAATGAAGGAAGGAGGGTAAGGAAACGTATTAGTGTAACAATTATAGAGCAGGGAGAGAAAGAATGGGATACAAGCTATGGAACAAGAGACAGAAAAAGAAATAGTAAATAAACAGCTACAACAACAAATTTGAACAAGGTGCTAAGAAGCTAAGAATCTAAGGAGCTAAGAATGATGCCCTTATTGTTGGCACAATCAACCTGTACGAATTTCTAAAAAATCCATGTTGTGTATTCTACAGCATCGCACTTCACAAAAGAAAATCTTTGACAAGTCACAATCTCTTATCGAGTTTGGCTTATTTTTGTAACTATTGAGAAATATTTCGAGTTTAATTTATTTTTGATAAAGCAAAATGTCTTACACTATACAGCTATGATGCATGTAACTTACATCATGTTTTTCGAAAATCATACAAAGTTATATTTCTCTATTGAAGATAGTGATAATTGCTTAAAGTAGTATTTAACATCATTCTGATTACTATAACTTCTATCACAAAAATTTTGTCTCTGTTTTCAAAACCGAATGAATATCGATAGGAGATTCTCGTTTCAAGAATTTCACATAAAGCTCGACTTGTTTTTCATCGATAGTCAAAGAGTTTTCGAAAATAAAATTAAGATGAATATTCCTGAGATTGGTTCTCGCTCAAACTATCTATCGACTACGTTAATGAAAAGTAAATATTCAGTCTTGGATTCTAAGATCATTATTTAATATATTCTCTCTGGCATATGATTGATTTTCATTGAGCAATGTTTTAATCGTTAGGACGAGAATCAATTTTGAGAATGTATCGCATTTCATTAGATCAGCGATAAATAGTCTTTAAACTCGATCATTTATTTAGGATAGACGACTAGATGTGTTCTGTCAAACAATTATCGTAGTAACAACGGAAAAGTTCATCTCCCGGATACCGATCATTAGGTCGCAAAGATTTTTTTGATAAAGGACTTACGCATGCATTTCTTCAAAGAACTCGACGAATCGTTTCTTTTCTTATCGATGCATCAATAGAGATGAAAATCATATAGAAAATTTTCCTATTCAACCGACTGTCTTTGATCGTTCTCCAATATTTAGAATGTGAACAAGATCACTGAACAACGATTGTCTTTCTGTAGTCTCTACTTTTTCTTTGCAATACATTGGTTTCAGTTAAAGTGTTCTATTTTACATGAAATATATACGAGGATGCTTCTTCTCCAAAGACATGATCCAGTATGATAGGAAATGCAAATTCATCATGAAGATCTTTTCGAAAATCACGAATAGTTCTACGTATCATCAATTTTTTATGTGAATTATTTGAGAGAAGTTCGAGATGGTGTAGGCATGTAAATGAAGAAAGGACTTAAGCTCATAGGTATCCTCATCAAAATATTCCATTTAATGGTACAATTTCTCGAATAGTATCCGTATTAATTGTTTATTTTCTCGAACAGATAATACTCAATTAAACCATGAATCATTTACACAGTTTAAAATTGAATCGTCAAGTAATTAATAGACCGATTATCTTTTGTTTTAAGATCATTCAATAGTGTCTATATGAATAAGAGTAAATTAGATGATTATATCAAGAATATTTCGAGTTGAAGATTAGTTCACTTAAAATTATCTGTAATTCTTTTATAAATAACTTCATTTTTTGTTGTTAAGATCTTCTCTTACTCATACTCAGTAGAATCAATAGCCAATATTGTATATGCACCGAGTTTGACACCAAACAACTTGGTCATCTATCTATTCTTATATTTTGTCTTGGGCAAGTAAATTTTTTTTTAAATTATATATTCGTAAGATTGTTTTTTTCTGATGAAATTATTAGGCAGCACGAGTAACATCGAAATGTGATAAATTTCATTGTATTAGTCTTGCAATGCGTATCTATGGTTATCATACAAGTTCTACTGATCTTGATGGGTTTCTATTATTTCTTTCATCAGCAAAATTATATGCAAAATTATTTGGATTAACTGTTCGACCGAGTAAAACTATTTCCATACTCGTAACAACTATTATTGTTGGATGTGTTATTCTTCTTCAAACAAATATTATTCACAGTTCAAGTTTTTTTATTCAATGATAGATAGTGTTGTTTCTTTTTCAAAAAAAAATTAAAATAAAACATGTCTTTTAAGAAAAAAAGATGATTTACTAACAAATCAATGAACAAAGATGACTTCGTTTAGAATCATTATCTTTTTTAGTATAGTCATCATCGTAAATAATTTTTGTTGTTGTTGTCGTTTTATTGGGATATCTTTTGAGGAATTTCTCTGTATATAAACGATGAACAATTTCTGCTGCAACATAATCCGAAGTATTTTCTTTAATTAATGATAAAATAAAGAAACCATCAGCTTCAAGATAATCATTAGTAAATGCAAGAATTTTTGATTGATCATTCATTTCATTTGTTAATGGATACTTTTTTGAATGAAGACGTTTATAAATGAAATCAAGACGATATTGTGGAGTAATGACATATAACCATAAGAAAAAATCACAAATATTTAGTGAAATAACAATAGCATACCAAAAGTAAAGAAATGTAAACATTTGTTGATGAAATAAATTAAGTTTTAAAACACATGGAACAGTATAATCATGAGAACGTCTTGGATGACCAAATTCACGAATAGTAAAATCACATAATGTTGTCTTTGGAAATAAACGTGATTCTGTATCCCAATGCATACCTAGATAAATCAAATAAATTTTTTCTTATTACAAAAGAGAAATGTTTAATTTGGTTTGTTTTACCTCGAAAAAAACGATCAAGTACTTGTATACCATAAAAAGCAAAATTAGAACCTAACATTATACTTAAAAGAAGTATTTGAAATAAAGATACACCTATATACATTAATTTTGTTGTCATATATAAAACAACAAGATAATTTCCAAGATATTTTCCTGTTATACACCATCTAGTTATTAAAATTCGTTGAATTATATTTAAATGAATACGTGCTTCGCTTAATTGTCGATGATCATCACAATATTGATCAATACTATCAACAATATAATCTAGACACATTTGACGATGTGTTGCATCTGTTGTTGGTAATTTATAATCAAAAGATGATTCAACAAGATCAGATACTTGTATTCCACTTTTTAATCCAAATGTATTCCATGATATACGTGGTATATAGAATAAAAATGCTTTAACTAATAAAATAAATGGAACCCATTGATAATATAATATTTCACTTTCTCTTTTAACAGTAAGTGATTGTGGTGTTTTATCTGTATGTTCAACATAGTAAGTATTTTGAACAAAACATACCGATCGAACATATTCATCATAGTTTGGTGTAAAGAATGCTGGTACCTATTTGAAACAAAAAGAAAATAAATAATGTCAATCAAAAATAAGAGATGAAACATATTAAATGCAAAGAATTTTACCCAACATCTGATCTGTTCTGCATAAAGACGATTTGTATTAATTATTGCAAAAACAACTAAAATTCCAACAGTATATCGATAGTTGAGTCGATCTGATATACAATCATCATTTCGTTTGCCAAGCACTATAGACGAAACTTGACCCATCAATGAATGAAAATCCATTTTTTATCTTAACTTAAATTGAAACAATGAAAAGAAGATTTCCTCATACTGGTATTGTTATCTATTACCTTAAAAATGGTGTGTAGTAGAATGCCAACAAAATAATGGGCTATCTGTGAATTGATCATGACTTATTGATAGTAAACTACTTCCCCTTTCACTTTGGAAAAGTCATCACTATTATATTTATCTATGCATCCATCATATTTTTTCTACGAGAAGACACCAACTATTCGTATTTTTCTATATGCTTTTCTTATATTTAATAGAGGAAGACAAAGAGATTAGTTATCAATCTCTGTCTATGTGATGAGTATAGTGCTATATTTTCCCAGCTTATATCTAACTAGTCAGGAACGATACAGGGATGACATAGAGTGAGATATTATTTATCATTCTTCTTTCTTGTTCTCGTAATACTAAAAGAAGAAAGCAAATGTAAATGGTTATGCGATCGGTAACTATATTTTTGACAGAAAAGAGTTGATGAATGTAACAACCATATGAAAGCAGGTGTATCGTTTATCATCTGATAGCAGTCATTAATATATAAGATAGATATCCTATGAAGAAAACTATTCATCGCAATCATATAGTTGTGACAATAATAGTTTGTAGACAAGTCGTTTTCGTCTAGTAATTTCCTTAAATCCGTATTAATTACAAAAGAGTATATATGTCTAATTGACAATATACATGTAATACTCAGTTCGAAACGAATATGAACATTTTAATTCCAATTAGATTCAATACAACTAAGATTTAGTCGAACATCAAAAGTTTGATTATTACCACATATTATTTCTGAGTGTTCTTCACTAATAATAATAAGTTTCTTTTTGTTTCCTTGATCAAAATTGCCTGTACTTATTTGATTCATTATCTATTCGAAGATTATACATTTATAAGAAAAAAAAAACTCAATACGTACAATCATACATACAATAGATATTATCATTGTAATTGTCTGTTTTTTAATAGACCGAGAAAAATGTTATTGTTAACAATTGAAGAACCAAGATTTAATGTGTACTAGATGATTATTCCTCCGCCTACACGATATTTCTGCTGAATGGTTATCAAAGTTTATGCATTTGAGACGCATCATTAAAAGCATGAACAAGATTTACAGATATTGTTTTCTAACCCTGTTCGGCACTAATCACCATCCTTGCTGCCATTTTTTTGCAGATTTGTGTTTTTCTTGATCGTCAGTTAAGATTCTTTTAACATATACTCCAGCATAAGCCTCCAGTCTGAGAATAGCAGATCTTCACTTTGTGGTAAAATTTATGTAGAGCGAACCTTGCCTCATGCAACGCAAATTGTCTCATCAGACATGATACTTGTGTTCTTGAATTTTTATCTGATTCTTGCGATTTAGACATAGATTCTGTTATATGTCAAAGAGACTATTTTTGTCGTTGTTCTTTTATTTTCACTTCAAGCTTTCATCACAATATAGAAAAAAAGCAAACAATAACTATAGCAAAAATATATCCAGTTTCATGTAATGTTAGATGAAGTACAAAAAGAAAAACAACAAAATGAAGAATATGTGCAATGATGACTAGAGTAGCCATTTGCATAGCCACGCTATAAATCTGACGTATTCACGTAGAAAAAAAAATAGCAACAATAATCGATTTACACTTAAAATATTCATCAATTATTAATATAGCTCGTCCTCTGTATATTTAGCTGAGCATCTGGAATTAATATTGTTTGATCTGTCGTCGATGTTCTCTGTTTTAGTAATAATGTCTCTAGAAATGCTCTAAAATTAATTACAGTTCAACTCACTAATGAATCAATAAACGCACTTTCTCTATCTAATCTGCGCACTTACCTGATATTGATAGACAGTTCATTTATTATTTGAATAGAAGATTTCTTGTTCATGAAATTTAACACAATAACAATTAACTGTTGTCATGTAGAAGAGATTCAATAGCGTACAGACCTTTAGAATTAGAAAATATCTTAAATGATCGATAGAGAAAAACAAAAATCTATAAAGAATAAATTCAAGAATATCGATTAGTGTTTCCAAAAACTACATCAAATTCACATAATGTGTATGATCATCAATCTGTAATGCATTATATCTGCCAAGTTCATTCTTTCCATTCGCAATGATTGAACCGGCCTATATAGAATAGAATGATAATACCTTTTTATGAAAGCTTCGGCAGAGCTATTAGTAAAAATCTCAGATGTCAAATTTCTATATCAATCAGTGTTTATCTGACATGAAGATTTCGCGAAACAATGAAAGATGCTCCAAATTTGGTTCTCTCTTTCTATCTTGTCGATATTTACCTATTTATTAACATGAATAAGCAAGCCATTTTTATATTCATCGAGTGCTTGAGCACTGTATCAAAAGCGCCTTTATCTGAGTATGAGTTAATAAATTGGAATTTGAATAATGAATTGTGTTTTCATGTAAAAGTCTATTTGGTTTCAGTTGAAATTTAAAAAAAGAACCTTTCAATTGCACATCGAAGCAAGTGGACTACTTTGTAAATTAATCTGCTCTTTCAGGTTAAAAAAACGACGTCGTAAATGGTCATCAATGATATAAAAATAGCGAAAACCAGCACCATCACGTCGCCATTTTTCATAATTCATGAAACCCTGACAATAGTGGAAGAAATAATGACCGTTTGTTAGAGAAAAAAGACTTGTAAAATAGAATAATTGATTACAGCAAAATATAATGTAGTTATATGACGTTTTACTTACGTTTTTGACACTCAGAACGACCGTTCTTCGCTATAGAAAATTGATCTGAAGAAAGCTCAAACCTTAAACAATTGCTGATCAATACTTCAGCCGTTGAGAAAATGAAACATTCCTTAATACATCCACACGCAATTTTATTTTCTATTTAGTTCATTTTCAGAAAAATGAAAAATCAACACTGTTTGAAAATAAATTCGAAAACCGGAATACGTTTGATACGAAATTCATTAGCCCAGAACTGTATATGGCCTCTGTTTTGAGACATATATGTATATGTATACGTATATCAGCCTATTGATAAAATTTTTTGTCCGTTTAATGTTTCTGCAACGATGACGAGCACTAATTCTCAATTTGGTTGGTTCATTGTATAGTAGCCTACTTTATATATGATTTTAGTTCTAAGAAGAATGTAATAGTTATAGTTGATTTATGATCGCCAAATGTTTTTTATTTTTTTTACAGCATACCTTATGTCAAATCGATCATAAAATGTGTGACAATTTATTGGGGTCAAAGCGTTCGTTTTAAATAGTTGTATAAATTTTTGCTTTGAAATTTTTGTAATTACATTTTGAAAAATATTATTTGAGTAGATCATTAGTTGTTCTATTTTGTTGAATATTTTTATTAATAATTGCAATATTAATGGTTACTCTTTTTTGCTATTAAAAGATACAGTCACTTTCTGTTTTTCTCGATTTGCTTGTAACTTATAATATTTTTATATAATACATCAGCTGCATAATAGAATAA